GTCGTTACAGCCCTAAACCCTAAACCCTAAACCCTTGTGGATGTGTTTGCTTCGCAGGCCTGGCTCTATTCTCTCTTTGCTGTTTGCTGCTGTCTGTCTCTTTTATTTGTATTTATATGTATTTTAAACAACAGAGAGCGATAGACGTAAATAAAGAATTCCTGAAAGGCATTTCGCTCGCCTCCAAAGAACAACTCGTGCGCAAACCCTAAACCCTAAACCCTAAACCCTAAACCCTAAACCCTAAACCCAAAATCCTAAATATGAAAGACTCTTGTTGGATTCCTACACAGCAAAGTATCAGAAGAGCCACGGAACACCCTAAACCCTAAACCCTACTAAATATCCTAAACCCGCAGCAACCTGTAAGCGCTTGCACTCTAAACCCTAAACCCTAAACCCTAAACCCTAAACCCTCAAGCCTGTGGTGATTTGGCGCAGATGGGGTTGACAGACGAGAGCGCCCCCGAGTCCGAAGAAAGCGTTTAGGGTTTAGGGTTTGGGGTTTGTAGAAAGGAGAATAGCCAAGCAAAAGCGAAGGTTTAGGGTTTAGGGTTTAGGGTTTAGGGTTTAGGGTTTATTGAGGGGGAGGGGCTGCGGCGGCTTGCAACGCCTTCGTTAGAAGCTCTATTTTGGTATCCTACAGCGCACACGCCCCAAACCCTAAACCCTAAACCCTAAACCCTAAACCCTAGCCCCGAGGATCGCGGGCAGCACCGCAGCGCCTGAGTGGCGTATTTTATACAGACTAAAAACAAGGGTTTAGGGTTTAGGGTTTAGGGTTTATCACCCGCAGCTGAAGCAGCTTCTGCAGACTATCAGCCTTTGCTGCTAAAATAGCATTTGTATCCACAAGCTCCTGAATAGTTGCATCCCTTTCTGCCTGCAAACCCCAAACCCTAAACCCTAAACCCTAAACCCTAAATCCGAACCCTCCAACGGCGAGCTTCAAAACAAACCCGCAACTGCAACCAGTACAGCACTGCAAGGGTTTAGGGTTTAGGGTTTAGGGTTTCGTCACCAGAAGTGCTGCCCATTCTTGCTGGCTTGTAGGCCGAGGAGGCGCTTGCGGTGCGCAGCCTAAGCACAAACCCTAAACCCTAAACCCTTAGTTTCAGGCCCATCAGCAACGCTGTATCTTGTAAACCCTAACCCCCCACAAAGTATGAACCCTCACAAACCCTAAACCCTAAACCCTAAACCCTCACGCGCCAAATGAGTGCCTTTGGTGGTTCCTTCTGCGTCTCTTGCGGATTGCTGCTTCAGCGCCTCAGCCTAAGCACAAACCCTAAACCCTAAACCCTAAACCCTAAAAAAGAGCTTAGCCCTAAACCCTAAACCCTCGCAAATCGTAAGCTAACTCTACAATCTCTTACGACAGGGAGAGGAGCACCGTTGAGGGTGTTCTGAGTGAGGCCTTGGGCCCTCTAGGGTTTAGGGTTTAGGGTTTAGGGTTTACTCGTTGTTTAAAACGGCGAATGATGCTTTCTGCTGCCCCTGGCTTCGCTGCAACCACTCCGTCTATTTCTGCTGCAGTCAGCTTCAGCCCGACTCGCTTGAATACCCGTTCTGCATGCAAACCCTAAACCCTAAACCCTAAACCCTAAACCCTCAAACGCCCTAAACCCTAACTGGCTATGAGGCCCCGCAGCAAAGCGACTTCGGCTCCAAACCCTAAACCCTAGGAAAGGATAATGCAACCCCTCTCCTTGCACTCAACAGAAATAATTAGGGTTTAGGGTATATGAAAAACAATTAGGGTTTAGGGTTTAGGAGGAACAATTAGTGTTTAGGGTTTTAAAAAAGTAATTGGGGTTTAGGGCCTAGGAAAAATAATTAGGGTTTAGGGTTTAGGGTTTAGGGTTAAGATGGACCTGAAAGGGTTTCCCAGTTGTAGCGCTTCTGCTGAAATGAGTTAGCTGTGCTGCAGGAAACCCCAAACCCTAAACCCTAAACCCTAAACCCTAAACCCTTAGCAGCTGTTAGAAGGCTCACAGAGCATCAAGAAAAAGAAGAAGAGAAATGATTAGGGTTTAGGGTTTAGGGTTTGACGTCTCGCCTGTAGTTGTGGAGATCCGCAATGCGGGGAATACAGTGGTTTGCAACTTCAGCCATCAACACTGAACGCAGCAAACCCTAAACCCTAAACCCTAAACCCTAAACCCTAAACCCTAAGCCGTACTTCCTGCTGGCTGATCGGTAGACAGCAGACCCTCTAGAGCCTGGTGCGGGCTTTAAAGGGTTTAAGGGCCGCATGCCCCTCAAGATGCATGCCGAGGGTTTAGGGTTTAGGGTTTTGTCGAGGGTTTAGGGTTTACCGCCGTCTGCAAAGTCTCTAGAGAGGTTTCGCTTAGGACGCGAGAGAGGGAGGCTATCTAACCAAGCATAAAGAGAGCAGATATCTAAACCCTCATTAGATGCTTCACCTGCTGCAGCTAATATAGCTGCTGCTTCTCCCCCTGCTGCTGCTGCTGCTGCTGCTGCTGCTGCGGCTGCGGCA